CACAATATTTCAATGACAAATCCGATTTGAATAGTTTCGATAGTGCATCACAACATTCATCTATTACCTAAAACTCACAAAAATAATACTTTTAAGAATAAAAACAATGTAAACGATAACAAAAATGATAATAATAATAATAATAATAACGCTGATGTAAGATGAAGTATTTAAACAAATTGTGTAAGTAAAATACAAATACCGTTTCATGTTTCGACGTGGTCAATCTGACAAGCAAACTGATGATATTGGTTGAGAAATTGAAATGCGGAACGTCCACTAAAAGTTTACACAGAGAACGTAACGAGACTATTGCTAATTTATACGTGAACGTTGCTTCGTTCAATACACTGCCTTTCTTCGGTAACACTTCTGAAATGATTAATCGATTTCATTCCAATAATGCACTGAAAGCCAAAAAAACAGCCATGCGATCGTGGATTAATCAAGGTCTGCACGACCGTTCAATTGGTAGAGCATTGGAGCAGTAATTAATATGTCGTGAGTGAATATTCTAGTCGAAACCTAATCATATACCAATGTCAATAATAATAAGCAGGTTATGATTTGTCTTGTATCTAATTATCAAATTCAAAAAGCGTTCGAATTACATGAACAGAATTGAAGAATCAAAAAAAGAACACATGAATAACAGTCGAACGAATGAAACAAGCAACATATCCACTCACTTGTTACATTTTTCTCGATCACTTGCAAATACTTATTGTAATAATTCAACAGCGTATTCTCATAATCGTGTAATTTTTTTGTTTCTTTTTTCATCTTTTGTGATTTTTCTTCCTCACTCAATGGTCTGAAAAGATATTCGTAGCTCAAAGCAATTATATTAACTGATTAATGATAGAAACGATTACTACTTGAATATGAGTCCATTAATGGAATGCACTATAACAAATATATAGAGCCATGATCGTTTGTTTTGAATGGGATTTGAAATGAGAACTGCAGAGCTGAATGCAAACCTGATCGCATAACCGGGAATAATATCGACGAACACTTCAACTGTTGACGCAATCGCTAATTTTTGAACAGTTTCGCGTATCAATGAATGGATCCTCTCACCCTTACACAGTCCTATCAACACACGGAGTCTATCGATCTGAACGAATGAATTTTTGATTTTTCATACAATCGAACTCACCACATTGAAAATTCTTTAATTACATATTAGAATTACATATTAGAATCTAACGAAACGAATATTTGTGTTGCATGTGGATTTACAGTAACAGTTCATGCATATGAATAAAAATTTGTCGAGACTGAAAAGACCTGTTGTTGTGGTTGTGCTAGTAGATTCAATGCAATGTCACTAATTTCTTGTTTTGCCGTTTCAATCATTTCGTTTCGTTTCCTCATTAATTCAACTGCGCTCAATCCCGATAAGTCATCCTCTTTCCACTCTTCTCCAACTTTTTTATCGCCACTTTCACTGTCATCATCTAAAGTCGCTTATAATTAAGCAATTCAATGCTGACTTTTGGCATCATTTTAAGTAACTGTTTTCACCTTATTCGATCGATAAGATACTGATTTCGAAAACCTTGCATGATCTTAACAATGTAATGATACGAATGAATAATAATATATATAAGATGGTATTACTGTGAGGATGTATAACATGGTGTTAATAATCTAATTTTCACCGTTCAACTCCTCACTGATTTTTCGGGATCGTTTCACCAATTTGCCATCAACTTTAATCGGTAACAATTCAATTTGATCACTATCGAGTTCTCCTTCGAAATGCCTTGGTTTCAGTTCCAAATCATCATTGTTTGTTTCATCATTACCGTCTTCTTCCATTTCTTCAAGTATTAAACAATTCATTAGAGCAATCCATTTCACTTCATACCGACCAACTGATTCATGATTCGACAGCACCTACTCTCTGAATTTACTCAGAATCGAAATTCCCAATTTTTTGCAAACCAAATTCAAATGTCAACAACTCAACATTTCTTAAGAATCGTACAAGCAACCGTAAATCTCTTTATGTGTGCCTTATTTAACATTCACTCAATCAAATGAATAATTTAGTATATCAATACCAATTTTGATTCGTTTCATTTTACTTGCAAATGCGCTATTTTCCCAATCAATATCCGCATCGAGCATATCCAACGGCAGGATATCGTCATCATCATCGTTCGCCTCTTTAAATGCTCTGTCATATTTCCAGTCTTCTTCGACCTATTGTTACCATTAAAATGAAATTTATTATTTCCATAATCTACTAGGTGATGCTATTGCAAGATCTTTTATTGGATCAGTGGATTCGGTCTCTTTCACTGTTATCTTTCATCTGCTTATCCAATGATATCTTCATCAATTCCGTGTAAACTTTCTGATAATTCAAAACAGATTTACCATGTAGCAGTAAGGCACATATGATCTCAGAGATCAAATGTAGATCATTTGATAGATCATTTGATCATTCAGCAATTGATCATCCGATAGATCAACAAAAGGCAGATCAAAACTGCTGGATGCAGAAAAATAAGGAAACGTTAACACTCACATCAGCAATTTTTTGTCGAGCTGCGGCGTGTTTCCTGGCGTCGATATCTCGATATTCTTCGAATACATGACGTTTCAATTTGCCTTTCTTTTTTAAAGTCTTTATTTTTTGAATGACTTTCTTATTTTGCTTGTTTTTGATCTTGGTAACAGCTTTCTGTTGCTTGGCACCTTTACCCATCTGTAAAATTTTATGTGAAATGAATAACGATCACCGATATTCCACTGGGATTATACCTATCCGAATCATACAGCTCTGAATAGTCATGCTCTAGGCATTCCTCGAGTGTGCCAGGGCTGAAAATTGAACAAAAGAATTATAGTACGTTTGAATATCACACATTGCACCAATATCAAACGACATCCACCAGCGGTGGAGTCGCCACGAATCGCATTGCACATTGCTGACGATGAGCAATTATTTTCGAAATCTTATGCGATTGGTAGATTATAAAGACGGCAGACAATACACCGACACTCTCCCAACTCTTAATGGCATATGAAACGATCTAATCAAGAATACAAAATAATAATATTCTCGTTGTTGTTGAAAAGTGTTTCTCAGAGCTAAGTCACAATTCCATTCGTGACTCCGTATCGCAGTTAATTGCATTAAGCAGTCGACCAGAACATGACACTTCACAAATATTATTCCAATGTAAGGATATTATTTGTTATTTTTTGGATTGGATTATTTACGGAG